AAGGGTATCAGTGACTACGAGGTCCATATTTTATCATACTTGTTATGCTTCCGAAACCAAACCCTTGTACACGAAGGACGCCATCATATAATCTCGTGTTTCGCCGACCATCTCCATAAACTTTACCAAACATCCCGACATTTCCCAGGACGTATTTCGATAAAAAAGTGTCGAAGACCTATTTTAGACCGAGGACCGTGGTGTAGAAGTTGGTAATCACTCCTTGCTGACGTCATGCTGCGAAGACTATACATGTTCCTGAATTCTTTTCAGTGAGATCCGCATCGAACCTTCGGAATAAGTCCCGGTTCTAGAGGAACAATCGGGTGAGGGCGGCGGAAACTTATAAGTCAGTACCATAGAGAAGGACATCAGGGTACTTATCGCAGACCTATCAATTAAATTTTCAATAAAACAATCAATGAATTTTGTCCCTTCTCACACATCTGAAACAACGAAGTTGAGGACAAGTATGAGGGGGGGGTGGGATCTCAGCTGAAAGTGGTTGGACGTGCTGGGTTTTCCAAAAGGTCACTGATACATCTCTCTGTGGTCTGACGCAGGAGCGGTGAAAGTCAAAACTGGTTTTTATTTAAAGCAGTATGCTGATGACTTCGTCCTAGATTGGAGACGGGCAGATGAGGACGCAACCAAGGCGCCCGTCTCAGCGTTGCTGGCAGCATGCGGGTTTCAGCACTCCTGTAGCAGGCAATATCCTGGCCCTACTGGTTTTACCAATGTTTATCTCGCATTGGCTTCAGATGTGTGGTTATTCCGCTGGAGAGGTCCACCCCGCGATTAGCGACGTCTAGTCTCACCGAATACATAGGCGCTTTTTTTACTTTGAAACCGTCTATATGGCTGGATTGATGACCGATTTTTGAGAAAACTAGGCAGTCGTTGATCTGGCATTTGCCATCATGTCTTGTCATCAGCACATCCCAGTTCTTGACGAGAACTTAGTCCAATAGTTTCTCGTCATGAGAAAGAGGACGCTTGTTCTCGAACTTTACAAGACGGAAGACAACGTTGGCGTTGAGGTTCTGTTTTGAGCAGGCTCGCAGTAGAATCAATCCGATGTCATATCATACTCATGAAACGAAACAGCGTCCCTCGCCCTCTCAACATGGCAAGGTGCGTGCTTACCGGTGAACCGAATTTACGCAGAACAACACGTTTGTCAGGCTTCGGCACAGGCATAAATGCTGCCCAGTTCCATATTCATCATGGCCGATCACAGGACAAGCCAATTTCAGCGAGGCCATGGTCGGAAGGTAGCCGAACATCACATGAGCGGTTGCATTTTTTCAAACTGATGTGCATTTCGTTTGACACAATTATACTGACGCCGACTAGCAACGAGCAGAGATCCAAACAAAAGAAGAAGCGCGACTGTGAGAGGCTTTTAGAAAAATACTTGTTACAGTCAGTGGCAGTAGAGAGGACCGATCTTGGACGATGGTAAGAATGCCGACACTCGCGCATACACGAAGAGTCAGAGCTAGACTTAGAATAGTAATAATTTCGATTTATGAACGTTTACCGATCGCTTACGGGACTCGCTCGTCCCGTTCTATCTTGGGACTAACTCTAGAGCACCGCCAACAGCCGCACACTGGCTACTATTATAAGAAGATGAACATTACCGACGAAGACAAGGAAAACTGGCATGATCACTTCGGGCTAATTAGCCGTCATCAGCCAACCAGTCGCAGGCGGTGCACCACCTGGGATTGGACAGGACTCACTGATGGCGGCTATGAAGCCAGAAATGGTCATTCCGGTCTCGATTGTCTCTCTCGATAATGTTCATCCGTCAGTAATAACATCATCCTCATCTGTAAGGAGCACCACAGTCCAGAACGTACTGCCGATACTCTTGTATGAATTTATTTATAATGAAGCAAGCTTGCATTGCGTCGTCATCATCATCTGCCTCGACCAATCAAACTCTAATGGCAAGGTTGAATCAAACCGAACTAGGCAGGGTTTGGCGATATGCAAGCCGAGTGTCTGCCTATCAGACAAGCAGTCTGCTATGAGGGGATTTCGAGTGTCGTATAGGTGAGAATGCCATAAAGAGTATACTAACAAGGAGCCATTACAGTCTTCCGTTATTTGGTAACCCTCCCAGCAACAACATATAGCGTGTGTTTGTTTAGATATAGTGAAACAAACCAAGATGATCTGAATTGAATAGTCCCATTCCCTCTTATCTCTCCATGCCCAAACCGATTAGAGAAGGAGTCATCAGTAATGGCCGACGTGTCATCTAAATTTCCTCTAACAACAGGACCAAGGTGACGTGGTTCGACCTCAAATTCTAACTTATTTGCGCCACCAACGGCGCCCTCAACGGCTCAGAGCTCTGTCCGTAGGCAAACCGACTACACAGTGCGCCTATTATGTGACAAGTATTTTCACAAAGAAGTGACTTTAAAGGAAACGCTGCAAAGAATACGAAAAGAAACATACGGGCTGCGAACAAGCCGAGCAACGTGCGAAGGCCCTGGTGCAAGGGAGGACTTCGGAGAACTGAGATAAGAATCCTCGTATCTGAAAAGAAGGGAATTTTACAAATCAAAGCGATAATTGACACAACTATACAGGGTGTAAACCTGTAGTGAACTAACACCGAGTACACGCGCACTCGCGGCTGTGGGCAAATGCACAGACACTAGTCTGCTTGCCTTGGTCAGTAACCTTCAAGGCTGACTCATACAGGACGTGATGTGATTACTGCCAAGCTCTCATACTTCGGATCCGGCCCCTCCTACTATCCACTACTACTCTTTCAACTTGGCGCACCACTTTCCTTCCCAAACAGAAAGCGGCCTGAAGATCACAGTGGGAGGTGTCTTGCCTATTAACTTAAGCCACTGCGATATTGGTGACCTCGACGTGATCATAACTCGCAGCCGGCGATAAACCTTCTCCTTTGCAGTAGAATTTGGCTCCAGTTGACCAGCCTGATGCCACGTACTCCACGCGGCATGGTAAGTCAACCGAATACCGGATGCCAGGGTGACGTAGCGAGTTATTGGGTCTGGAGTATGGTGGACAAACGTTGCGAAACTTCACTGACGTGTTTAACTGTCACCCGACTCAAGTTGCATTCGCTACGATAATAGGAGGAAGATCACATGTTCGCATTGTGGACGCAGACCCTGATTCCAGTTCATTTTAGTGCCCCACGCACGTGTTCCGTCTATCGCGACCAGCCACGTCACCGGGAAAGGTGAACCCGGAAACCTGCGCAGCCTGTGGTACCAGAACTCCACCAACCATGCGCAGATCTCACCAGTTCACCCGCCCCCGTAGTCTCCGTGGCTACAGAAGTGGATGCACTGCATGTCTGCGTTCG